TCATCATCATCATCATCATCATCATCATCATCATCGTCATCATCACCATCATCAACACCGACAGCATGACACCTACGCTTCGTTGCCGTACCCCCAAAAGAGTTTGAATTTATATCTGGATGTATCTCGCTAGCTGGTCGGTCTGTGTCGCAGGAATTTGGTACAGAAAGTAACTCTAAATGATTGAATGCTTATCCGGGGAAGATCAGTCAGTTCCCTAATAGAAGGGATGCAGAATGTTCATTTTGAGGTAGGGGTTCCTTGTAATGCACCTTAAAAACTACCAGAGGTTCTCGTCATAGTGAGCTGGACACGGGTAACCCTTCCGGGACGGTACCAAACGTCCTTCTTCTACGTTAGTGCAAAGTTTACACGCTGATAAGAATCTGATACTGAGTACATCGACAACTTGTGTCCATTCTTAAAGGACCGCACCCACGTTCCTATTGATCGACGTATATATTTTTTGCCTGTATGAACTTGCACCGAGGCAAACTGGTGGGTGTCCAACTCCTACACATCGGGTTTCACTTCATCGCTTTCGCAGCAGACAGTCGAGTCGATGACACATGTTTGGAAAGAACGATTCAATCCAGTCTCCATTTCTTTCACAAAAGCGCACTGTAAATCGGTCGTACCGAAACATACAATCGAAGAAACGCACACACGGCTTGACCACAAAGCTTCGTTCAGGTTAGTGCATGCTGTTGCCATGGTGAACTTGATTTGAACGACAGAAGTGAGTATGATTCATCAGTCACGCAGTCAGCACATGTACACCCAAGCGTCAAATGTCACAGTGTCCTTATGGTCAAACCGCAAGAATTCTGGCAGATTTTCACTCCCGGCAGAAGGTACATTTCAGGCCAGCTTAGATGGAAGAGAAAATTACCAATATGACGCCCATATCGAAAAGTAAGATGAATCGCTTCAAGCGTCCTAAGGGTAAACAATTCATGGTCAGACCGTACGTTACCAGTTACCACTACCACTACTTGCAACTACTCACCGATGTCGACAGCTTGTCTAAGCTGTGGAGTAGGATACTGCACCCACGTTGAGTCATTTCAACCTCGAGGTACACTGTCCTCGAAGTTTTGCACACGGATAACTTCAGGTGACATCAAATCTGGCAAATTCCTCAAATTCCTCAGAGAAAAAGCTGAGAGGAGGAACTGACCCGTTTTCAGTGGCTGCGTAGCGTACTACGGGTGTTTTTTTACATTTAGTCCGCTCCTTCACTCTTCACATTCTTGCCTTTTTCTTATTCAACACCGATGAAAGCTTGCATTCTGTAGCATCCGGTTTAAGGTCAGTTAGCCTGGTCAGACTTCCCAAGTAAGCATATTGCTGTACTCCCGTCGACTAGGGTAGCCAATTACTCTCACACGGGCTCGTCAGGTAGACGAAATCCCTGAGTTTCCGTCACTCTCATGTTCTACTTGAATCCAAATCGGACAGCTTTGGACAAATACACTCAATTGGATATCAGTTTGGTTATGACGGAAGGCTCTCCCCGCTGAATCTCCCGTTTATGATGTCCCCGAGCTTTTCAATGTCAATACATTGGATGAATTGCTTCAAGGCCCATTAAGAATCTCAATACCTTCATTTAGACCACTAGTGAAAAACGCAGCTTCTGCGTGCACAGGAGTAGCAATAAAAAACACCGCACGTGGTAAACCTCAGACGCCGCTTCAACTAATTCGAATTTGTATTTTATTTTTTCTCTTGTCTGTGTAGTTCCTTCAACAATACACAAAATCATAGTCCTTAAATCAGGTTGACAAAGTTGGGCACATTGTCACCCGTGAGCTGAACAGCAAGTAACAAACCTATAGCTGACCCCTCCTCCCTGGGTGGGCTAACTGTGACCATCCTATCAAACCTGTCAAGCCGGGGGTTGAAAGTGTGTGCTGTTTGACAGTGCAACACACCAGGCTTGCTGCAAATGCATGTGTTGATCCACCGTGTTTTGTACCATTCTGAAGATTTTTTCGGTTCTTCACAAACATAGCTGGATACTTGGAAGCCTGCAATTACAAAAGATGTTTTAGTCTCAAGACTACTCATGAATACATCTCCTACACACGACAGGCTCTGTAAAGTTCCAATTTTTCCACGCTTATTTTACTATTTATTTATTTATTTATTTATTTATTTATTTATTTATTTATTTA